AAAACATTCTAAAAACTTCTTTGCCTAGGGATGATCGATTAAATCTTGACAATTTCCCTATTCTATCTCGATGCAATGTTATTCATTCGTGCTTTAATATATTTTGGGCTGATAGTAGCATTTACCTTTATCCTTTTCCACGACTAGTAAAGGCCTCATGCAACCCTTTTTGTTGGGGGTATGAAACAATCAAATCGAACCCTTGTCCTTTCGGACCTTGTATTGAAAGTAGAAAAGTAGAAAAATTCATCACAAATAAAGATCAAAACTTGCAGGAATAATAAAGTAGACGAACACACAGATTTAACGAGGTTCGGCAACGTGCCTACGTTCTCGGAAGCCACACCACACAATTCTTTTGATTAATTAAAGAAGAAATACAAGATCTCAAACTAGGGTTTTATCTCTCTAAGATTCTCTCTTTTTCTGCTGTCAAAAGCTCTTTTTTCATGTACTACAAAGCCCTAAAAATATTTAGGTATATATAGAGTCCTAAAAGAAACAGAATCCAAAGCAGTTTAGAAAACTGTTTGACTACGTCGCGGTCGACCGTATCAAATGACAGAACCTAAAATCCCTACAGGGTATCCATAGTCGACCGCGGCGGTTGACCGAACCGATTCCCGAGACCAAAATCCATTACAGGGTTGGCGCGATCGACCGCCGTGGTCGACCGCCTTCAGCTCCAGCCTCTTCTCAGCTTCTGTGCACGTTCGCGGTCGACCGTTTAGGTCTCCTCCTGTTTTTCTCGATTTTCTCCCTCGTTTTGATTCTAGCTCTGACTTCGATTTTGGATCTACACTTTAGACTAATAATCTCCCACTTGGAGACCAAAGTGCCATCAGTGAGTTCACCCGAACTCTCCCTTCTTCGCATGTATATTCTCCTCCTCGAAAAAATCATTTCTTCAATCATCAATATCCTGGCGATCTCGCCGATCCTCGTAGTGTGGCTCCGCCTTCGTCTGTGAAGGCCAACTGAAGTTGCGCATAACTTCAGTTTCTCAATGGTGACTGCCTTCGTCAACATGCCCGTCTGATTTTGACTCCCCAAAATCTTCATTAAGTGTAACTTTCCGTCTTCAACTAGCGAGCATATAAAATGATATTTTACGTCGATGTGCTTCGTTCTGGCATGATATACTAGATTCTTGACAAGATGTATAGCGCTCTGGCTATCATAATAAAGAACTCCTCTCCCTTGCTTCAGATCCAACTCTTCCAAGCACCCGTTCAACCAGATCATCTCCTTGCTTGCTTCGGTCACAGCGACATACTCAGCCTCTGTTATAGAAAAAGTCATAATCTTCTGCAGACGTATGACCCAGCTCACTGCTATCGACGCTAAGTTATAAACATACCCCGTGGTGCTTCGTCTCGTATCATGATCACCAGTGAAGTCCGCATCCACGTATCCCTGCAGCACCAACTCCTTCCTCCTGAAACATAGTGGCTTGTTCGTTGTTCCCCTCAAGTACCGCAATATCCACTTCACGGCCTCCCAATGCTACTTCCCTGGATTGCTAGCAAACCTGCTCACAATTCTTACTGTATAGGCGATGTCTGGTCTCGTACAAACCATCACGTACATGAGACTCCCAATAGCCAAAGAATATGACACTCTGCTCATATGCTCTCTATCTTCATCTGTCTTAGGCGATTGATCCTCAGATAGCTTGAACTGACTTCCAAGGGGCGTGTTAACAACTTTAGCATTCTGCATGTTGAACCTCTGAAGTACCTTCTTAATATATTTAGCTTGGCTCAATCTCAACGTCCCTTCAGATTCATCCCTACTAATTCGCATCCCTGGAATCTGCTTTGCTACACCCAGATCATTCATTGTAAACTCATTTGCTAGCTGCTTTTTCAAACTGTTTATATCTTCTAAACACGGTCCTGCTACCAACATATCATCAACATATAATAACAAGATAATGAAGCTGGACTCGAACCTTTTGAAATAACAACAATCATCTGAATTGTATCTTCTGTAGCCATTGTTTTGCATGAAGTTATTAAACTTCTTGTATCACTGTCTCGGAACCTGTTTCAAACCATATAAGCTCTTCTTGAGCTTGCACGCCATCTCTTCCTTTCCTTCTTCAATGAAGTCAACAGGCTACTTCATGTAGATTTCTTCATCCAAGTCACCATGAAGAAAGACAGTCTTCACATCTAACTGCTTAAGAAAGAGGTCTTCTGCAGCTACCAAACTCAACACCACTCTGATGGTTGTGAACTTCACGACAGGAGAAAATATCTCAGTGTAGTCCACTCCTTGCCGCTGTTGAAACCCCTTCACTACTAATCTGGCCTTGAATCTCTTGCTTCCATCACTCTCCTACTTGATCCGGTAGACCCATTTGTTATGGAAGGCCTTCTTTTGTATAGGTAGCTGGGCTAACTCCCATGTCTCATTAGTGAGTAGAGAATCCATCTCCTCCAGCATCACATGCTCCCACTGCTGAGATTCACTCACTTACATTGCCTCCTCATAGTATTTTGGTTCACCGCATCTGTCAATAATAAGTAATCAAGAGATGAAAGATATCTGAGATTTGGTTTGGGTACCCTGGATGACCTCCTAAGCTCCACGCCCTGGGTAGTTGATTTTGCACCTGGAGCCTCCTCCGTTCTGTGGTCAGAATAAAAATTATCACCCCTATCTGGAAGTTCCTCTAAATCTATGTACTCGGATCCACCTACATCCGAAGTGCTGCTCCCACTGCTTTGGCTATCCTTGGTATTTTCCTTGTTCTTGTACATCACCTCCTCATTAAATATTACGTCCCTGCTTCTGATGATCTTTCTGTTCTTCTCATCCCAAAGATGATACCCGAACTCATTAATGTCGTATCCAGTGAATGTGCATTTCTGTGACTTAGCCTCTAGCTTGTCACTGACGTGGTCACTGATATGAACATAAGCAACGCAACCAAATACCCATAAGTGTGAGATATTTATTTTCTTGTCACTCCAAACCTCCTCTGGAATCCCAAAATCTAATGGAATTGATGGCCCGTGATTAATAAGGTAAGCTGCAGTATGCACCGCATCCGCTCAAAATGTCTTAGGCAGACCTGCATGTAATCGCATGCTCCTGGCACGCTCCGTCAAGGTTCTGTTCATCCTCTCTGTAATGTTGTTCTGCTGCGGCGTCCCTGGAGTAGTCTTCTCTAAATGAATATCATTCGTAGCACAGAACCTCTTGAACTCCTCCACCTCGTATTCTTCACCATTGTCTGATATCAGACACTTCACCTTCAGATATGTATCGTTCTCCCCCATGGCCTTCCACTTCTCTGAACACCTCTGACTTGTGTTTCATGAAATAAATCCACACCTTCCTCGAGAGATCGTCGACAAAGGTGACATTGTATCTCGAACCGCCAAAAAAAGACACACTGGTTAGACCCCATACATCTGTATGAGCCTTAGGTGGCCTTCCACCCTTCTGAAAACTAACCCTCATTTGCTCCCCAAAGATGCAATCTTCACAAACCCCGACTTCCACGGAGTCGATCCCGGTTAGCTTTCCCTGTGAATGTAAGATCTTCATCCCCTTCTCGCTCATGTGCTCTAGCCTGTTGTGCCACAAATCTGTGCTCTCTTTACCACCTGTAATTGCGAGAGTGTCACTTGCATATAAGGTAAGGTAGAGAGTTTCTAGTTTGTTGCCTCGAGCAACTATCATCGTACCGTTGGAGATTCTCCATGAATCCCCTGTGAATATCGAAACATAGCCTTCTGCTCCAAATTGTCCCACCGAAACAAAATTCCTCTTTATCTTCGGCACGCGTCTCACGTTCTTCAAGGTCCACTTAGAGCCCTTCATCTGAATCTGCACTTCACCATTTCTAATAATATTACATGGCTCGTTATTCCCTAAATATACTTTTCCAAAGTCCCCTGCTATATAATTTTGAAAAAGCTTCCTGTTAACAGTGACGTGGAAAGAGGCTCCTAAGTCGATGACCTAAGAATTCGAGTCGCTATCCATAGCAAGGATCAAGACATCCTGCACGATATGAGCCTCCTGTTCACCCGCATCCTTCTTTGGACTCTTACAGACTGAAGACATATGACCCTCCTGGCCGCAGCTCCAACACTTTCCTTTAATATGGCATTTTAACCTTTGTTGGTCATGTATTCACCGGACTCAAAGAAGATGGAGATGTTCCAAGATACAAACTTCCTTGAGAAGTACATTCCTTGCCATGAAAAGATGGATTAGGATTTGGAGTTTGGGGTTTTGCTTATAAATCCAATATGTTTAGCCTCATTTACTTCAAAACCCACATAGTTTCATAAGTTCTCATTCATCCAAAACACAAAGTTTACTTACCTATAAATTCGAAGCAGAATACAACGTGCATGCATAGTTAGTATGTATATATGACAAGATGTATGCATACTAGAGAGCGTATAGTTACATGCTATATGTAGAGACTATGTAGAATAAGGCGTATAGCTATGTAGAATAAGGCGTATAGCTAATATAGAGAGCTAGACCTTTTTTGAATTTTGCCCTTAATTATGGTGGCTAGCTACCAATTTGGCCTCTCTACGAACCTCAAGTGTTACACCGACACTTCTACATCAAGTGTTATGACAAACAAAGGACAAAGATAAGGATCAAGAAAGAGATACCATTTAGCATGAGAGAAGAGCAGTTGGGGGTGGGCGAAAGCTCAAATTTCTTCTATATTTGGCAGGTGGCTCAACCATAACGATTCCTATGAGTTCAACCGTGAGAAGCAACTTATAACCAAACGCTTAGTTCTCTAGAGACATTAGTAGCGAGTTCAGTGGGGGCCATCGCCAACAGCTAATTATAACTAACCAATGTTAGGAGAATCTTTGCAACCTACCCACAAATTTTTAAACTCTTGTTTGCATGCGCACAACACTTAGACAATTCTCGATTCCTTGGTGCGCGTGTGTGTATATATATATCCTTGAAAGGACATGATCGATTAAGTACCGTGTGAACTATAATAGTCAAAGGCAGAGAGAGAAACAAAAGAGAATTATGGCAATGCCTCCTCCTCAACTAATTATTAGCCTATTGCTTGGCTTTTCTTTTCTCTTGCTATCTTTTCAAGCTTCGCATTGTGCGGCTCACAGGCAGAACCATTGGCCTGAGGGAGGAAAAACAAGGTTCTACGAATTCAAGGTCTCTCTTAATTTCTCTCTCTCTCTCTCAACTACTTTACTTGCTACTGTTCGTTATCTTGCATCACTTTTATGACAATATCTCCGTTAGGTTGACTCTCATCCCTTCAGTTCAAATGCAAATTTGATACGGTAAAAATATTGAGAAATATTGAAAGAACAATTAGGCAAATAAACGGTCACGCGTGTTTGAACGTACGTAATACTTTTCTTCTGGTTTGTGAGTGAAGGTGCAAAAGACGCGGATAAGGAAACTATGCAAGAGTAAACAGATACTGACCATCAACGGAATGTTCCCGGGGCCGACGGTGTACGCTGAGGAGGGTGATCGTCTTGTCATCAGGGTCACCAACGAAACTCCCGACAACACCACCATCCACTGGTATGATGCACCAAAAAAACTCATAAGTTTAACAACAAATTAAATACCGTCATGAGCCACTAAAGGAAAAGCAAATGGGGAGCGCATGACGACCAAAATACCGACAAAATTGTTACTAGAAAATCCGCATTTAATTCGTGGCCGGTGGGATTTGAACCTGGGTTGCTCTGATACCATCTTAATTTTAGTTAATCTAACCATTACATCAAAACTTAAAAGTTATGGTAACGATCAAGATTTATAGTTTTATATTAATTCTAATACATCTGCTTGCATCTAATTACAGGCATGGAGTGAGACAAATTCTATCATGTTGGTCAGATGGACCATCATACATCACCCAGTGCCCCATCCAACCCGGGCGCACGTTTACATACGAGTTTACGTTGATCGATCAGAGGGGAACTCTGTGGTGGCACGCTCACATCTCATGGATGCGTGCGACCGTGCACGGCGCGCTCGTAATATATCCAAAGAGAGGGGTTCCCTACCCCTTCAAGCCCCCGTACGAAGAACAGATTCTAATCTTTGGTAAATAACTTATATATGCCTTTAATATTTTAAATAAGTATGAGCTTGGTTGTTGGGGTGTGTGAATGACTTTGAAAGCGTGTTGGTTTAAAAAAATATTCCAGGTTAAAAGAAACCTTTCTCATTATAGTTTACGCCAGAGCTATTCACTAATTTTTATATGGATTTTTATATACATGCAGAGGAGTATTGGAATAAGAATCCTTTGAAGATAGAGAAGAAGTTGATTGCCAGTGGAGGAGGTCCACCTGTTGCTGATGCTTACCTCATCAATGGTCACCCTGGGCCTCGCTACAACTGCTCTGCAACTGGTAAGTATTAAGACAACCTTTCTCATTATAGTTTACGCTATTTACTAAGGTACCGTTTGATAAAGGGTTAAGTGAGGAGTTAAGAAGACTTAACCTCTTCTTAACCCGTCAAATACAAAAAATCTATACAGTACCGTTTGGCAAATGTTTAAGTGATGAGTTAAGGAGACTTAACCCCTTCTTAACCTGTCAAACATAAAAAATCTATACAAGGGTTAAAGTGAGTTAATCCTACATAATTTGCCAAACATAAAAAATATAGAATGGTTAAGCTAACCCCTCTAGAGTTATTAAAATGAGTTAACCCCTCAAAATGAGGGGTTTACTAATACTCCTATATTTAGAAGGATTAAGAGTTAATCTTTCTAATTATAAAGAAAATAGTTAAAATCATTGTTATTCTCAAACACTAAAACTTCTCACAAGTGCTAAAATAAAACTTATTTAACGGGTTAATAATTTAGTCTTTCAGATTATCGAATGGGCTAAGTACATTAATCCTTCTCTTTAACCCTTCTTTCTTAACCCTTTGTCAAACAGGGCCACAAGAGTTAAAGTGAGTTAACCCTCCATAATTCGCCAAACATAAAAAATATAGAAGTGTTAAGCTAACCCCTCTAGAGGGATTAAAATGAGTTAACCCCTCAAAATGAAGGGCTTACTAATATTCCTATTTAGAAGGATTAAGAGTTAAAATAGTCAAAATTATTGTTATTCCAAAATACTAAAACTGATCACAATGACCAAAATAATACTTATTTAACTGGTTAATAATTTAGTCCTTCAGATTATTAAATGAGCTAAGTACATTAATCCTTCTCTTTAACCCCTCTTCCTTAAACTAGGACGAATCTCCACATGGACCAACTCTGGTCTGGTGAAGGAAAAGCTAGACCCCACCCGCTTCGATTTGGGATTAATCAAACACAACCATTGTCTAACGAAAACATCTGAGTTGTATCGGCAACCATCATTTGTTGTCATTTTATAAGATTAAAACCCCCTAATTTCATTATTAGTCGTTACTTTCTTCAATTATTTGCTAATCATCACCCACGATGGATGCAACCTGCGCAGATGTATTCAAGATTGATGCCGTCCCCGGAAAAACCTACTTACTCCGTCTAATAAACTCCGGCCTCAACACGGAGCTCTTCTTCTCAATATCCAGCCACAGGCTCACCGTCGTCGAAGCCGACGCGGAGTACACTAAACCCTTCTTAACGGATCGGGTCATGATCGCTCCGGGCCAAACCCTCACCGTCTTCGTCAAGGCTGATCAACACATCGGCGTGTACGATATGGCTATTGGGCCTTACATGTCAGCCCAAAATGTCCCGGTCCAAAACATCTCGGGTGTAGCCCATTTTCAATATAGCGGAGCTAGCTTAACTTCTACGGCCCGACCCGCCCAACTTCCTTTATTCAATGATAACAAGGCCGCCCGGTCTCATTTAGATGGGCTAAGAAGTCTACACCAAAAACATTTGCCGCACCAAATTGACACAAACCTCTTCTTCACGATTGGGCTTAACGTTGAGCAGTGCAATCGGCCCAACCCGAATAAAACTTGCCAAGGCCCAAATAACGGAATATTTGCGGCTTCAATGAATAATATCTCATTTGTGAAGCCTAACGTTTCAATACTACAAGCTTACTATGAGGATGTTGAGGGGCATTTTAGGACGGACTTCCCTAGCAAACCGTTGAGGGTGTACGACTTCGTTAACGGCGCGCCAAACAGCGCACCGAACGACACAGCGTCGATACGAGGGACACGGGTGCATGTTTTGGAGTTCGGAGCGAGGGTTGAGCTCGTGCTGCAGGACACGGGCACGGTGAGCACGGAGAACCACCCGATACACTTGCACGGGTACAACTTCTACGTCGTGGGCTACGGGAGTGGGAACTATAATCCTCGTACCGCTAAGTTGAACTTGGTCGATCCTCCCTATATGAACACCATCGGTGTCCCCGTTGGAGGATGGGCGGCGCTGAGGTTCATCGCCGATAATCCTGGTATGTAGAGATTTTTGCCTATAATCTTGAGTGATTATATAGTTACCCTCTCACTGTATAAGTGGTTATAATCTACAAATGAGCCCGTATATAATTTGCTATGTTATTGGAGTGCGTTAGTTTATGTTTCACTTTGTGCAAGTGTTTTGTGTAGGTATATGGTTCATGCATTGCCACCTTGAGGTTCACACCACTTGGGGGCTTGACATGGCTTTTCTTGTGAAGGATGGAGACGGCCCAAATGAGAGTCTTCCTCATCCTCCTGCAGATTTACCAAGGTGTTAATTTTTATGATGGTACGATACGAGGAGAGAAACACCATTAGACGCTTTGTTTAGCTGATCATATTGATGTCGTGAAGCACGTTCAGGTCATTTGATTCTTTTGAGAGAGAGTTTTCCTTAATTATTACTTGTTGTTTAATTTCCCCAAGAGTGAATGAAAGCATGTGAAGAATAAATAGATTTCCTTCTTCTGTTGGTGTGTATTGAAAGAGGAAGTGCATCATGATAGCCAAAAAAACTTCAGGGATGGTGATATTTACGATCTTAGTTATACTCTGTAGTGCATATGTTGCAATTGTAAATGCACCAGTTGAATGTTGAACATTATGTTGAAGAGCTTCTGTCTAAAGAAACTCGTTGTTTAGATATCTGCATTTTTATTTTAGAAAATGCATTTTCATAATTTTAGATCCATTATTCGAATAGTTGCAAAAGTTTTTGGGTCTGGATTTTGTGTTACATGGACTGTATTTAAAATGGTTTATATGTTTGTGGTCGTGACAAATATTAGTCCTAGACTAATACACTTTCGGATGTCTAAATTGTGAAGCACATATCCGCTACAAATTTATACACATAGTTTTTTTTACTACATACAGGTATATGTCAATCACCTTCACCCATCACATCAACTTAAGGATTCATTGAAGTCCTCATGTGAATTCAAAAGCTGTGAGTACTCTTGATAAACCCTATCAAGAAGCTCATTCTGCAAATCCCGACTCATGTCATAATTCTGATGGATATCGTTACCGAGTTGCGATGTATCCCCTCCCTCAAACACACTACTATTGTTCCTCGTAGCCGAAGTAACCCTAACAGGTTTCGGGACAAAAATATCGGTCTTCATACTCTCCTTCTTTTTCTTGGTACGTCTTGACAAGGGTTTTGTGCTTCCTTGTCGTACTTTGATGCCTTGCTTCTTGCTGAGGTGGCTGTTCCAGTGGTTCTTGATCTCGTTATCCGTTCGTCCTGGGAGTCTCCCTGCGATGAGGGACCACCGGTTTCCAAGGAGGGAGTGAAGTCTTACGATGAGGTCTTCCTCCTCAGGCTCGATGTTGCCTCTCTTGATGTCTGGTCGGAGGTAATTCATCCATCGAAGTCTGCAGCTCTTGCCACATCTTTGAAGTCCTGCAAGAAAGTATGCATTGGAGCCACAAAATAGGATTCAATAGGAAAAACATAACACAAGACAAACTAGGCAAAACTAAACTTTCTCTTTAATTAATTTTTTTTAAATGGGTTAATTTCACAAAGACCACCCTGCAGTACTATTACATTGTGTCATGTATTATCTCTTAAGTCTGATGTTGGTAGATACACCTGAGAACTCTTTTACCTTAGGGATGCATACTTTCAACTTTTTATCAAATGGAACAAAAGAGACAAAAAATAAAAAATAAAAAATTAAAAAATTAAAAATTTAATATCAAACATAAGGGGAAATAAGTGCCACATCGTGATACTATAGAGGTTTATGTGCAATTAACCTTTTCAAATTTTGCTTAAAAATGATCTATTCAAATATTAGTCTAGACTACTATATATTTTTCAAGTACAACTTTTGAACTTTGAATTTGTATTTTTTATTATGTGTGACATGAACAGATGAAATACCTTCATAATTTCTTTTACAGTTAGGAAAAATCTGGGGTCCTCCATTAACTGCATATATGCATATGTTTATAAATGAAGTTAAAAACTAAATAATTATATAGAAGCATTCAATATGAAAAGAAAGATTTGGAAGCTGACAAATTGAATTAAAAAGAGAAAAATAGCACAAAGGGTTTGGTGAATGGTGAGTAAAAAGGTGGGATCATTAATACTAGCAAGAATTTAGATGGCATTGAATACTATTGACCTGCATTTTTTGGCAGAGATCTCCAGCTGCCTACTCCATGGCATTGGATGTAATTAGTGAGCAGTGCATCTTCTCTTGCACTCCATGGACCTCTATGAAGCCCTACCTTTGAGCAAAAAGGAGTTAGTAATGGATGTTTGCAAATTAGATCCTTTGTAGGCTTTATATACTTATATGTATATAAAAGCTCTTGATGACATGTGTAATCAGTTAGGTAAAGGTTAATCTTAATCCTTGAACTCTTTTTTAGTCGGTAGGAATTTAAGAGTTATTATTGATGGGAAGCGGGGTCCATCCCCATGATGAATTAACATGGATTTAATCCATAAAGATTTTGTGGTTGACTACATACATGCATTGATAGATTGTCTTTCTTCATGCATTGGGAAAAGGAAGGATTAGTCTATGGACTTCCCCATGCAATGAATGCGGTGTACCTAAGAGGCATATCCTCCCTATAAATAGAGGGGAGATCGTGAAGGTTGAAAGCAAGAAGCAAGAAGAAGAACCACATACAAATCTGTAATCCTCAAGTGAGTTTGAGAGAAAGTGATCCTCAAGTTAAGTTATACCAACTTGAGAGAAGATCATTTGTAAACTTTCATTTGATTATAGTGGAAACGGAGAAGAAGGGGCGGATGAGGACGTAGGCTCAATTTGAGCTGAACCTCGGTAAATCTTGTGTGTGCAATCTCTCTATTTCTCTGTTTGTTTCTATTCTATTTTTTTGTTCTCATTTCATCACAAAGACGGGAAATGTCTTGTTGTACTATTAATTTCCTAACAGTGGTATCAGAGCAAGGTTGCTAATCTTCTTGTGTTGAGATGAAGACTCTCGTCGGCGGCGTTCGAATGATCAGTTTGAATAGCCGTAATTGGATGATATGGAAGGCAAAGATGATGGATCTTCTATATTGCAAGGACCTCTATGCGCCAGTTGAAGGTGAATCCTCCAAACCAGAGTCCATGACGGCTGATGATTGGAAGAAGCTTGATAGGAAAACCATCGGCACCATTCGGCAATGGGTGGATGATATTGTATTCCATCATGTGTCAAATAAGATTTCGGCGAACAGCTTGTGGAAGAAACTTGAAGATCTCTACGAAAGAAAGACCGCCGGTAACAAAGCTTTCTTGATTCGGAAGCTTGTCAATCTCAAGTTCAAGAAAGATGATTCTATATCTGAACATTTGAATGAAATTCAAAGTATTGTAAATCAACTTGCAGCCATGAAGATGGGATTGGAAGATGAGCTTCAAGCCCTTCTTTTGCTTAGCTCGTTACCAGATAGTTGAGAGACGTTGGTGGTGTCTCTTAGTAACTCTGTACCTGATGGAGTTGTATCCATGAACCAAGTTACAAGCAGCTTCTTGAATAAAGAAATACGAAGAAAGTCATCTGGATCCTCCCATTCTCATGCTCTTGTTACCGAGAATAGGGGGAAGAGCAAATATCAACAACCTCGGAATCGAGACAAGTCAAGAGAAAAATCAAAGGCTAGAAAGGACATTACTTGCTATCACTGCGGGAAGAATGGACACATAAAACAGGAATGCCGCAAGCTCAAGCGAGAACAAAAGGAAGGAAAGACCAATGAAAAACAAGAAATGAATGAAAGTGCAGTTGTTGTCAGTGACAATGAAATTATGCTTTTTTGGCATGTGAAGAAGACTGTGCAAATCTCACTTGCCAAGACTCGGAATGGGTGATTGATTCTGGTGTCTCCTACCATGCTACTCCCCAGAAGGACTACTTCACTTTGCTTCGTGAAGGTAATCTTGGAAAGGTAAAAATGGGTAACAAAAACTCTTCTCAAATTCTTAGCATTGGAAATATTTGTGTTACTACTAACCTTGGAACAAAGATGGTTCTAAAAGATGTTAGATTTGTGCCCGATCTTCGTCTTAATCTTCTCTCCACCGGCAAGCTTGATGAAGAAGGATACACGAGCAGCTTTGGTAAAGGATGATGGAAGCTTACCAAAGGATCACTTGTACTAGCTAGAGGAAAGAAGTGTTGCACTCTCTATAAGACTCAGTTTTACTTAGAGAATGATGAACTTGGAACAATGGAAGGTACCTCTATGAATTTGTGGCACAAACGGCTTGGCCACATGAGCGAGAAAGGGCTACAAACTCTCGCAAGGCGACAACTACTTCCATCCATGCAAGGTATAACATTATCCCACTGTGATCATCGCTTGATTGGGAAACAACACCGGATAGCTTTTGTTAAAAATTATAACAAAAAGAAAACTGGTATATTGGACTTAGTCTATTCGGATGTATGCGGACCCATAAATGAAAAAACTTTTAGTGGTGCCTCATACTTTGTGACCTTCATAGATGATGCATCTAGAAAGGTGTGGGTGTATGTTATAAAAACCAAAGATCAAGTCTTTGAAGTTTTTAAAGACTTTCATACTAAAGTTGAAAGAGAAACCGGAAAGCTCTTGAAGTGTATTCATACTGATAATGGTGGTGAGTATACTTCAATGATGTTTGAAGACTATTGTTCTTTTTATGACATTAGATACCAAAAGTCTGTTCCACATACACCACAACACAATGGGATTGCAGAAAGGATGAACCGCACTATTGTGGAAAGGATAAGGAGTATGCTATCCTTAGCTAAATTACCAAAAATATTTTAGAGAGAAGCAGTGCGAATAGCCTGTTACTTGATAAACATGTCCTCCTCGGTTCCCTTGGATGGAGATATTCCAGAAAGAATTTGGAGTGGAAAGGATATTTCATATTCTCACTTGCGGGTGTTCGGGTGCAAGGAATTTGTACATGTACCTAAGGAGAAAAGAACAAAGCTTGATGATAAAGCTATTCCATGCATCTTCCTAGGCGTTGGACGACGCGGGGACGTCACGTGGTGCAAGTGCAGAGGAGAAGTCCGTATCTGCGATCTCGACCACATTAGACGACGCGGGGACGTCACGTGGTGCAAGTGCAGTGACGGCAACGGGGTCTTGGATCTTCGAGCCGAAGGTCCTGCGAACATTTATGGAAGAATTTACCTTTAAGCGCCTGTTCGGAGAGGCGGATCTGGAGGAGGAGGAAGAGAGGCGGTATAGATTGTGGGATCCTAAAAATAACAAAATTATGAGGAGCAGGGATGTTGTTTTTTGTGAAGATAAAACACTTGCTGATTTTGAAAAAGAAGAAGAGCCACAAAACACACATATCATCCCAAATTTAATCTCTACACCAGTTATTTTTCCTTCTCCCATGCTAGAAAATAATGATTTTCAAGATGTGTAGGAAGAAGAAGAAATTACAGGTTCCCCAAGTTTTGATCAGGGGGAGCATGAACATGCAGAGACACAATATATGGATCAGTCATAAGTACATCGGTTGACACGGTCAGAGAGAGAACGACAACCCTCAACTAGATACCCTGCTTCAGAGTATACTATAATAACAGATGCAGGTGAACCAGAAAGTTTCCATGAAGCACAAGTTCATGATGATCGTGCAAAATGGAAGAAAGCTATGCAAGAGGAGATGGATTCTTTACATAAGAATCACACTTATGACTTGGTGGAGCTACCTAAGAACAGAAAAGCCTTGAAGAACAAATGGGTGTTCAAAATAAAGAATGAAGAAAATGACCAAGTCAAGTACAAAGCTCGCCTCGTGGTGAAAGGTTTCAGTCCGAAGCAAGGTGTAAAGATGTCTTCTATTCGGGTTATTCTTGGTCTTGTTGCTTCTTAAGACCTTAAAGTTAAGCAGTTAGATGTGAAGATAACATTCCTCCATGGTGATTTAGCAGAAGAAATCTATATGGAGCATCCACAGGGTTTCAAGATAAAGAGCAAAGAACACTTAGTTTGTAAATTGAAGAAGAGCTTGTACGGACTCAAGCAGGCACCGCGACAATACTATAAAATGTTTGATTCTTTTATGCTTGACCATGGGTACAAAAGAACATCTGCAGATCATTGTGTTTATGTCCAAAAGTTATCGGATGATGATTTTATTATTCTCTCTATATATGTTGATAATATGCTTGTTGTTGGAAAAGATAGGTCTAAAATTGATAGGTTGAAGAAAGAGCTGAGCAATGTCAGACCCTAGAGGGGGGGTGATTAGGGTCTTATGCTAATCTAATCCGATTTTATGCTAATTAAAACTAATTCAAATATTACTCTTGTAAGATAGATATACAATATGATATGAACAAGAATATGCAATATGAATAAAGAGATATATCCTAGCAAAGAGGTATATGATAAAATATAAGCAAGGATATATAAATTAACACAAGAGTAAACAAACTAAATAAGATAGTGGATGATATAAATAATGAGTAATGGACAATGGCGACAAGAAATATATAAACATAAGAGAAATACGTCAAAGCAAACTCAAACACACAATATGATCACGGAGTTCGGACCTTCCGTCCTACGTCTCCGCTCCCCACTCCCGGGGAGAAATCCACTAACACAACTAGGTTTTCTACGCTCACCTGAATAACGTTTACACCTCATAATATCGGTTTTTAACGTTCACCGATCAACATTCTTAATCACTCACAATGTCGGTTTTCAACGCTCACCGATCAACATTCACTCCTCACACTCGGTTTTCTAGCTCACCGAAAATTTTACAATACTAACAATGTAACAACAAATGATTTGTTCTCTAATATGGATGAGAACACAATGAAAGCTCACACTCAATTGTTATAATTCTCACCAATCCAAATATACAATGTATGCAAATACAATAAGCTCAAGTGGGTGTGTGTAAACAATGAGTAAAATAAAATCTAACTAAAATAGCAAACTAGCAATAATAAGAATATGAAAATCAATAATAAAATTGCTAGAGAAAAGAGTTAGAAAAAATTCTCTATAAATACAAAGAGAGGATGATGAAATATTAAAGATGAACTCTTCAACAACTGATGTAAGCTCCTCTTTGTAAAACATCAAACTTAAAACAAACTAACCAAGCTTAAACCCTTATTAAACTTTTGTTTTAAAAACTTCTTGGTTATAGCTGGTAGAAGGGGTTTGAGGGGTTTATACAGGAAGAGAAAACAACAGCAAAAACCTAAAGGAAAAGACCAAAAAGCCCAAGAATCGGAAATATGATTCTGTATAAAAAATGACCATTGGGCGATCGGCGGTCGACCGTGGGAAAATCGCGGTCGACCGCGAGCAACAAAAAAACAAAGAAAAGTCTCTGGACATCAGCCGGTCGACCGTGACGGTCGACCACGAGAACATCCGGTCGACCGTCACGGTCGACCGTGAGCCTCTGAAAAACTTCTTGAGTCTCTGGACTCAGGGGAGGTCGACCGTGGCGGTCGACCGCAAACAGATACTGAAAATATTTAGGTTTTGAACCTGTTTTTGT